AAGTGACAACTCAATCCAGAAGCAACCCCAAATTACAAATGTTGTCCTTTAGGGGTAGTGCAACCCCATTCAGAACAGGTTGAATATTGCTTAACTAGATAGATGAACAAACCACTAACAACACCTCCATTGTGTCTGGAGTCTCAGTTTATTGGCCCCTATCCAGTCCATTATTGTGCTCAGACACTGATTCAGAGAGGCCACTGTCTCACCTGAATTTGATGAAGAAGGGAGATAGGGCTGAGTGTCATCCACATATTGGTGGTACTGCATTTCATATCACCGGATGCTAAATAGCACAGAGGATAAAATAGAACCCTGTGGTACCCTATGGAATAAGTGCCATGGCACAGAGCAATAATCCCCAGCACCAACCTCTAGAATTGGCTGATTAAGTAGGAGTGGACCTACTGTAATGCAGTGCCTCCTACTCCTAGCTCAATGAGCCTAGCAAGAGGGATGCTAAGCTCCTACAGTGGCAGATATTAATCAAGGCAATCTAGTGTCTTCTAAATTTTTGGACTTTAACTTCCCACCTGTTGTGAGGCCAGAGCACTCTTCCTAATTACTCACACAGGAACAGGCAATAAAAGTTTAAAGCTTCTTTATTCTAAACAACTTCAAGATACTCAAGCAATAAATAATACAGGAGCTGCTAATGGCAGTTCTAAGCAACACAGTTGCCCCCTCCTTTCTGACCTGTCTCAGATTTACGACGCACTTTTCACCCGACGGGAATGCCCCTCCTCACGGGTAAACTCCTCTCCCTCCTTCTTTGACTTTGCCTCTCTTCTAATTGGCTCAAATGCTGAAGTCTTCTCCTCAGCTGGGCATTCTCTATGGCAACGGGCTGTCCCACGGGCTGCACAGCTGTGTTCTCTTCTTGAAGAATGCAGTTTTGCTCAGGCTGGAGAAAAACTTCATCAAAGTCAGGTGGCGGTGGGGGGTGCATTTATGCCATGGGCACCAAATAGAAATCTTCTTGCTGTAAAGCCTGACTCTCGCTGGGAGCTTCTTGCTCTCTTACGCGTGCTAACGATTCCTCTGAGTCATTAGGCACAACACCACCACTCCCACCTAGAATAGTCAATGGTTGAGTATTCCTGGGGTTGTAGTCCAAAACTTGTTCTGTGTGTATTTTCCTTATTATTTACATTTGGAACTGACCCACTATAATTAACCATGTTCTAATGAATGCTGTGATGTATATATAGTAAATGTTGTAGGGTAGAGTGTGACATTTCTAGACAATGCAATTTCTTGTTGGAGAGCAAAGTTCAACATGTACTTCAGCTAGATAAATATTTAACACAGCATGTATCCATGAAATTGGTCTGTCAGGATGACAAAAATTAGATGATCCTGACTCAGATATAATAGGATCCTAGTAAAATGCATCTGAGCCAAATTTGAAACTGAGCATGCTCTAAAAAGTCCACTACAAATGTGATGAAAATAGGCTTTGTAGGAATTTCATGCCTTCCAGCAATTCCTATCTGTACTGAGGAATAAATCATGTTTTGGAGCAAGAAGAACATGGGTAGGACTAATGAGCCGGTTGACATAAGTTTGCAGATATATTTTCTAAAATGGTTTGCTGGTCATTACTTGGTCACACCTTCCTCAAGAATGCAATGAGAGTCATATTAGTAGGTTCTCTGAGTGAAATTGTACCTGTAGTAACATCTCCAGATGGTATCAATGAAACTTCTGAAATTGCCCAGTTAGTTTGCAAATAGGTGAGATAACTTCACAGAAAGGAACTGAAATAAATGGGAAACAAAGGTATTTCAATCTGACTACAGAGTGTCTTCAGATATGACTTTTAATTTTATTTAATATATGTCCCCCTCACTCTTCACTTGAGAGTGGCTTATATCAAATCAACAGATTTTCACTTGACACTGAAAAATAAAGATTCTGCTAAATGTACCTCTCTGAGAAGAAAATACAATGAATAAAATGCCACAACTGAAGAAGCCTATCTCAAGTCAGAGCTTAGTGTATTTCAGCTGTGGGGGACCTCTGTGCAGGGCTTCTGAGATTGACCTGGCTAGTTAGGTTTATGGGGCTATTGCACTGATGTCATACTTGTGTTTCCCATGGGCAGTTGGTTGGCTGTTGTGTGAACATAGTGTTGGACTACATGGACCTTAGGTGTGATCCAGCATGGCTGTGATGTTTTCTTAGATACTGATATCCTAAGCCATTTGGGACATTATAACTTAAAACTTGTACTTGGAATTGTGCTTAGAATTGCACTGATAGCGAACATTGTTGTTTCAAAGCTGGTATAAAATAGTTCTTATGCCCAGCCCCAATTAATATATATGATTTTGTGTGTATTTCACAAACTGTAGTTTCCAGACATTCTTTCAAGGCAGCCTAGCTTAAGAGCACATTGTAGTATCTTAAGTGAGATGCATTTGGACAGAGTATTTCTGTTCAGAAGTGTCTGCAAGTGGCATACCCATTTCAGCTGGTAAAAAGGTGCTCCAGTCTAAAGGTAAGACAGCATGTAATAAAACCTCCAGACCATGAACTCAGTCTTGGGATATCTCCATCCCTGAGCACCATTTTTAAGTCCAAATTATACTTGCCCACACATATCCTATCATATCTAGATTGAGCTTTAGTTTATTAGCCTCTGTCCAGTTCATAACAAATTTGAAGAGGAGTAGAGGTGGTTATTTCACTCCAAACCTGCAATTACTTTGCTCAGCAGCTTCATATAGATATTAAGTACCATGGGAAGCAAAATAAAGCTGTGTGGAACACTGTGGCCTAACTGCCATGGAACAGTAGTACCACTGAGATGGGAATGGAGCATTCGCAAACATGGTCTGTTCATTTCCCTTTGCACACAGGCTATTTTGAAGCATTTCATGGTCAGTGATATTGAAGGTTGCTGAGAGGTTCAGAAGACTTGAACTCCTACTTTCACCTGGCATAAATCATTCAGTGGCATGAACAAAACTATTTCTGTGCCAACTCCTGGGTTTTAAGCAGATTAAAACGGATCCAGGTGTGGCCATGGCTGTGCTGAAGCAGTGTCTGAGAAGATAGACTGGATGAGGGCTAATAATATAGGTGCTGCTGGTAGTTGGATGCTTTGTCCAGTTGGATGGCATCTGCTGTTGTTGAGAGTAATTGTGGGGAGGCAGGTTTATTTTCCAGACGTCCCCCTGCCCCCCGAGAAAAGTACCAAAGCTATCTCTGAGGCAAGCTGGAGGGCATTACCCCGTATCTAGGTAACACATTTCCTTATTCTTTCTTACTGGTATGAATTTTAAATGGCTCACTGTGGCCACTTCTGTTAAAGATTTGTACTGCTTTGTATATTGTTTTAATAAGATGATTGCTGTTTCATTTTTAAAAAATTGTTTACCTCTCTAGAACATCTTTTGAAATTGAAGGGCAGAGTAGAAATATTTGTTGATTCAGTGTAAGAAATTATTGGGGGAAGAATTTGTTAGGTTCCCTGGGCTTTTTGTAAGGGAGGGATACATGCAAGAATTCCTGAAATATGAGGAGTGTTAAAATACCCCCCCCCCCATTTGATTTAGATCCCACCTTTTTCTTACCAAACTCAAAGTAGCTTACATCATTCTACTTCTCCTGGACTCAATCTTGTTAACACAACATGAACTGTGAGATAGATGGGGCTGAGAATCTGTAACTGGCCCAAAATTACCAGTTGGCTCCTTGGCCAAGTGGGAACTGGAACCTAGATTGCCTCAGTATGAGTCCTATGCACTTAACCACTACACTACACTAGGTCTAGATTTCTTAGGCAGAGTTAAAGATAGACTTCTTTTTGAAGTTTTTTTTTAAATCCTAAGGATAAACTATTGATTGTTTTAAATGTTTTAAATATATGAACTATGTATTCTTCTAAATATTGCTGTGTATAGGGACAGAAGGTTGAGAATATGTGTTCAAAGATAATGATTCAAATGTGATGACACCTTTTTATCTGAAAAACATGACAGAGAATATGACACCTGGGGTTGGAAGTTGAAGTGTTTTGCTAAAATGGAAGTGGCGTTTGCAGTAAAGAAAGCTGTATAAACAAAATTATTGACAGTTGATCACAGTGTACTATAGCTGTAGTGGGCAGAGTCATACAATGAGTGGGAATGGTTTCTCACATGTGTCTGTAAACCATGAAAAAGGTATTTGATTGCATGACATATTAATTTTAATATATGTAATAATTAAAAACTCACTTCAATAACAGCAAGTGACCAAAGTTATATACTTTTTAAAAGCCATAAAACAATATTGTAAAATAACCTCAATAATAAACTTTTCTAAATATATGCTGAACAGAAGCAGCCATAATTGTCTCCAAAATGTCTAGCTGTCTTTGAAGCAAGACTGTATCTCATCTTAAGCAAGACTGTATCCCATGTCAACCTTGGTGCCAGGGTTAACATGTATTATACTGTATCAAGCAACAGATCCTTAAAGTCCATTTATTTTCTCTTGAAGTGCGGCTTAGAATCCTCTCAAATATATTTACTAGTTTTGGTTTCAGTTTAGGGGGAAAATACCTCTTTTTCTTGTCCTTTGATTTATACATCTATTATTTGTACTAGATATATAGAAGATTCATATGGGAAGTAATTATTCCATTAATAGGCAGAATTGCATGGGCAGGGAGGATTTTATGCATGTTTATTGCTGAAAGCTAACACACTTGGAACATAACAAATAGAAGCAATGATGGTGGCATGTGAGCTGCGAGACTAAAAATTGTTCTGACAGATTTAGAAATAAAATAACAATTTAAAATCATAAAGGCATTTTATTTTATATTAGGTTATGAGGAATATAATAAGTTGTCATATTCACTGCCAAGAACGGTCATAAAATTTTGATTGAACAGAAGTCAAATATCAAATCTCAATATAGTTTATGATAGTTCTCATTTATTCTTAGGAAAAAGCATTTACTTTGTGTGTATATTTTCTTCATGTCTGCTTTATCATTCATAGAACCCCAAGGATTGCAGCAAAGCAAAGAAACTAGTTTGTAATATTAACAAAGGCTGTGGTTATGGTTGTCAACTTCATCATGTGGTCTACTGCTTCATGATTGCATATGGCACTCAAAGGACATTAATTTTGGAGTCTCAGAATTGGCGCTATGCTACTGGAGGTTGGGAGACAGTTTTCAGGCCAGTGAGTGAGACATGCACTGACAGATCAGGAAGCACTACAGGTCACTGGTCAGGTAAGTCTCATTGAATTATACAAATATTTTCTTTATTAGTATGTTGACATGTCAAAAGAAAGGAGAAACCTGATAACTAACATCTTAGTTGCAAAGACAGGACCCAGTGTGTCTCTCTCCATTGCAGATGTAAGGTAGCAGCTTTTTTAAAAAATAAAGAATAACAGTTTAAAAAACACACAATCAAGAGAAATCTTGAATTTACAAATTAGACTGTTGTGTTGTACAAGATGCTTGGGGAAGTAACATTAGGAGCATTCAGCTAATATCAATTATATAATCTACATATCAAAAGAATATAGAAAGCAGAAAGAATTTTTAAAGTTATATGACAGTGTTTTTTTAAACTTGTAATCCACTACCACCCATCAAACACATAATATGATTATCAAATACCACATGTGAAAATACCAGGAAATAAAAACTTTACTCTGATAATATAGGCATATTATTATTCATGCAAGCAGGACACAGATCTCAGGCATAATCATCCAACTCCATAATGTTAGGTTTATACAATATTGATTGGCACTTTTTTGAGAACCTGTTTCTTCCTTGCCTTTATTGCTGTTGCAGTCCCCTCTTTTTCTTCTTTGTCTAAAAGCTCGTGATACATACTTAATCTCATAGCAAGATGGAGGAGTGGTTTTTTTGTTTTTGTTTTTTGGGGGGCGGGGTTAACTTTTGCCCCAAGTCAGTAGGAGGCACTTCTGTTTGATTCATCTTTGCTGAGTGAAACTTTTATGAAGTCTTGGGGGAAAGACCTGTTGCTGTCTTCAGGGTGAGCAGTAAATTAAGAACTCTCCTTTGCTAGGTGTTATTAGCCATTACAAGAGAAGGGGCTTGTTAAAATCCTGAATGCTCCAAGTTGTCCTTGAAAGTTCTGAATGACCTACAAGGTTTGTAGATTGCCTCTTGGAGTAATAAATCGCTGGAGCATTATGAATGATCATATAAAGCTGTGACATACGGAACGTAACTGAAGAACTATGTGTCTGTTACTTGAGCCTTGCAGGAGAACTGGTAAATGCTTATCCATCAACAGAGTCATGAGTTAAATCATAGTAGGCAAGGTCAAATTAAATAGGTATGGTTTGATCCAAGTTTGATCAAGGCAGAAGAAGACAGGACCTTGGATAGCAGGTCATGCAGGCTGGAACTCTCCTACTAGGACAGTAGGAGTATTTTGTCTTAACACAGACCTAAAGCCCAATGAAGCATTGTACAGAAAAACAAGCCCTGAAACATGGTCACTTGCAGCTTACATTGAAGCCTGAAATTTCTGCAAGGCTGGGGAAGTGGAGGTTCTCCCTGATACACAGGCTTGTGGCCGTGCTTTATTATTTGACCAAAACAGCCCTGAAAAATGCATTGGTTTTCCTTTCTCCAAGGAAGTACCTTGTGCTTCATCAGAATCCACTATTGCACATTAGAAGGTCCTTGGACTGAGGATCATGCCACCAAGTAGTGAAGTTACCTAACTGTAGCATATCACATGGACACAGAAGCCCATAAGAAGAATGCTTCCTTTCCATTGTTTTTCTTTAAACCATCTGAAAATCTGCTTCTGAGTATTTTGGTGCAGGTTTTTGTTTGTTTGTTTATCTAGGGATTCCACAGCCCACACCTCCTGATGACCTCTCCCAGTGGTTTCATGTAGATGTTGAATAGCAAGGGGGACAAAATGGACCCCTGCGGAACTCCATGACATAACTGCCATGGTGCAGAGCCATCGTCCCCCAGCACCACCTTCTGAAATCGGCCATTGAGATAGGAGTGGAACCTCTGCCACGCAGTGCCTCCAACTCCCAATCCCACCAGCCTATTCAGAAGGATACCATGGTCTATGGTATCGAAAGCTGCTGAGAGGTCCAGGAGAACTAACAGGGACGCACTCCCCGTCTCTCTCCCTGCACAGGTCATCGTACAGGGCAACCAAGGCAGATTCAGTGCCGTACCTGGGTCTGAAGCCAGACTGAAATGGATCCAGATAATCAGTTTCATCCAAGAATGCTTGGAGTTGTCCCGCCACCACCCGCTCTAGCACCTTGCCCAGGAAGGGGATGTTGGCCACCAGTCTATAATTGACGGCCACCTCTGGATCCAGGGATGCCTTCTTTAGGACTGGTCGGACCACCGCCTCTTTTAAAGAGGACATTACCTGACCGTCTCTTAAAGAGGCGTTGACCACCTCCAGGATCCAGGTGCCAATCCTGTCCTTAGCTTTCTTAAGTAGCCAGGATGGGCATGGGTCTAGTAAGCAGGTGGTAGGGCATACTTGTCCAAGCACCTTGTGCACATCATCAGGCTTCAACAACTGAAAATCATCCATTAATTGTGGAGTCGACGGCGTCGTTGGCATCTCCTCAGTAGAATCTGGTTCAATAGTAGAGTCAAGCTCGTGGCGAATCTGAGCAATTTTCTCCCTGAAATGCCTTGCAAAGTCGTCACAGTGGGCCTTTGAGGGTGGTATGAGATCTTTCTTTGGGCCCTTGCACCACCCGAAAGAGCTCCACCAGACGGCATTGTGAGGAGGCAATGGAAGCGGAGAAGAATTTCTTCTTTGCCGTCCTCACCACCACAGCATAGGCCTGATAATGGGCTCTTAAGTGTGTTCAGTCAGATTCACCCCGTGATCTCCTCCACCTACGCTCTAGATGTCTCCCAACCTGCTTCATCGCCCGTAATTCAGGTGTATACCAAGGAGATGAACGGGCTCTGTCAGGTGGGAGAGGACGCTTAGGAGCAATCATGTCAATAGCCCTGGTCATCTCCCCATTCCACAGTTCAACCAGGGCATCGACAGGATTACCAGCCTTGTCAATCGGAAAATCCCCCAGAGCTTTCAGGAATCCATCAGGATCCATCCGGCTCCGGGGGCGGACCAATACAATCTGGTCCGCACCCTTACAGAGGGAAAGGCCGCTCTCGAGCTCAAACCTTATGAGGAAGTGATCTGACCATGACAAGGGCATCAAACTTAAATTCCTTACCCTCAGATCACCCTCTTCCTGCCCCGTCGAGAAAACCGGGTCCAGAGTGTGTCCAAATTCATGGGTTGGGCCACTGACGTGTTGAGACAGCCCCATGGCCGCCATGGAGGCCATGAAGTCCTGAGCCGCCCCAGTTAGAACCGTCTCGGCATGGAGATTGAAGTCCCCCAGGACCAACATCCTGGGAGTCCTCAACACCAGGTCCGAGACGATCTCCGTCAGCTCAGGCAGGGAGTCTGTTGGGCAGAAGGGTGCACAGTACACCAACAGAATCCCCCGTCTGTCTCGGTCACCCAACAACAAGTGGAGGCACTCCAGCCCCGGCCTTGAGAGGACAGGAAGCCCCACAAGGGAGAGAGAAACTGGATAAACCAGAGCGACCCCCCCCTCCTCTCCAGGTGTGGTCGGTGCTGGACCAGGTACCCGGGCGGGCACAGTTGTGAGAGGGCAACATCCCCCCCCCTCACCCGCCCAGGTCTCTGTGATACAAGCCAGGTCGGCCCTCTCATCCATGATCAAATCATGGATGAGTGTTGCCTTATTTTGGACCGACCTGGCATTAAGCAACAGCACTGACAGGCCTGGGGGGCAGCTGACAAGTCTACCTGGGACCTGCCGGTTGGGGGAATAACCAGAAAGAGGGACAGGTGTTAACCATCTGTCCCTCCTCCTTCTATGCAGACCCGTTAGACCCCCCAATGCCATAACATCCAGAGCCCATCACCACCCCAATGGCGGCGCCCATGCGCTCCCCAGGCAACATCATAGTAAAGCACGAGATGCACCAATTAAAAGCAACCTAAAATCTACAATTAAAATTACTAAAAACATCCTACTTAAAACCACTGCCAGCCCACAAACGAAACCAAGGCCAACCACCAAAACCCCCGGCCAGCCTACCCCCCCACGCAGCCCCCAAACGGTTCCCAAACGGCGGCATCACCGCCCTTAGGCCGTCGCCCTTGGCTGGCACAAGGTATGCAATGGTGGATACTCTCAGCCAGACCCCATTCTAACTACACAAATGGGACCCAATCAAAGAGGTGAGGAAACACATCTTTTCCATGTGGGACACACTGCCCACCAACCTCTTTGCAATGAAAGACAACGTGGCATGGAGCATGGGATGGAACTCTCTGGGAGACACATTCCTTTTCTCATGGGGGAAAAAAACTCTTTTCCACCCTTTCTTCTTATTACTGAGACAATTGCCAAAATAAGACTGGATCCTAATCCTGGATCCTCTTGCATCCTACTTAAACACCATGGTGGTCCAGACAGCCTTGCTTTCCATCCCTTCTACAGCTTTCGAGTTGGACATTCATACATCTGTCAAGCATATCAGACCTAATCACATAGGAGCAGAGAAAAGTCCTACACCCAGATGTCCAGACACTTCACCTAATGGCTTGGTTGATCACCTAGTGACAACTGCCAGTTTGGATTCAGAAATAGAACTCATCTTACAGGCAGCATGACATCCCAACACCAGACATTCCTATTCCAACAAATAAAACAAATTCAGTAATCAGGTGTAGGAAAATGGCTTTGATCCAGTGACAGCACCAATACCAAAAGGAGAAGATTTCCTCTTTTCCTTACATCTGAAAGATCTGAAGCTGACTTCTGTCAAGGTCTACTTGTCTACTATCTCTTCTCTGAGGGGTCCCATCGATGGCTGCTTTGCTTTCTCCCATCCCCTTTCATCGAGGTTTATGAAAGGACTTCACGGTCTTAATCCTCCTATTCAAATAGTGGTTCTCAGTTGGAGTCTATCCTTGGTGCTAGAAGCCCTAACAAAACCTCCTTTGAAGCCACTTGCAACCTTTCATGGAAAGTCTCTTTTTTGGTGGTCATCACCTCAACCCAGAGAGCGAGTGAGTTTTGGATAGACCCTCCATATTTCCTTAAGGAGAAGGTAGTTCTAAGATAGACCCTGCTTTTCTACCAAAATTCTCCTTGGCTTTTTACTTAAACCAAGAAATAATGTTCCAAACTTTCTTCCTG